TATGGCCGACAAATACAATAAATTCACTATCATTTTTTGGCTTTTTTGCATAATTTAATCTTCATCATTTTTATATTTTTATGTTTACGGGACGAAATGTGTATTTTTATGTTTATAGGACGAATTGTATATTTTTTATTTCATTATTGTTATTTTTCCTAATTTTTAGGCCCAAATAATCTTTTTTGGGCTCAAAATTGAAAAATAAAAATTAAGCCCAAAATGAAAAAAATAAAATTGAAGGCCCAAAACACGGATTTTGGATTTAACCGGTTAACCGCCAAACCGGGCCGTCCAATGCGGTTCGGATTGTGACCGGTTAAAAAATAAAATCGGTCCGGTTATGGACAAGAAAAAAAATTAACCGTTAGGTCCGGTTTGGTCATGGTTTGGGCTAAAACCGGACCAATCCGGACCGTGAACACCCCTAGAACAAAGTTTATATCCTAAGCCTATGTTTGGTTCGGGGAAAAAGAGGGGAAGGGAAGGGAGGGGAGGGAAAATTTTATTACCCCTTGTTTGGTTCAACTTTTTGTAAGGGGGGGTTTAAATTTTCCCTTCAATTCCCTCCTCCAAGAGAAAATGTGCTCCCCTCTAAAAGTGAGGGAATTTGGAGGGGGGGGAAAATTTTAACAACAAATTACTCTTTTGACCTTACTGTGAATTATTTTATTTTTTTTGTTCCTTACATCATTAAGGATATATTTGTCATTCTAACATTATTTTCCCTCCCCTTCCATCTTCTAACCAAACAAGGTTAATCATTTTCCTTCACCTTCCCTCTTACAAAATCTATCCAAACAAGATAAATTATTTTCCCTCCCTTCCCCTCCCCTCCCCTTCCTTCCATTAAATTCCCTCCCCTCCTCTCCCCTCCTTTGAACCAAACATACCCTAAGACTTACAAACACAACTGCAAAATACTGCAACCTACTGAAACAAGAGCACAAATCAATGGGAGAGCCAAACTTAGTTGGTCTAGGGGAGGGATGAAGGACTAACAGCTTGACTGTAGGGCAGTATAGAATATTGAGGCTCTTAGACATACTATCAATGATGGAGACGAGATCGCGCTTTCCTTTCAGGAAAAATACGATCCAATCCCAGTTTTAGTTTAATCATTTAGTAGCTTGATTATTTATTTCTATAGTTATTATTATTTCTTTTATTTATGTTATTAAGTTGATAGGAAAATAATTATTTTAGTGGGTATTTACTTGTCTAGCAAGATAGGTATTTAGACTGTTTAAAACTTTATTTATATCGGTTTTGTAGGCCTCAGACGAGGTGTTACGAGCCTAACTTTGGGGCTCGGGACTTGGCACGATCCCTTAGAGTGTCAAGGTCCTAAGGACTCGAGCACAAAGATGTGCGGAGTCGACTAAGGGAAGGATGCGAGCTGGGCGCGTCCTTGGGCTGAATGTTGGGTTCAGTCGGGTCTTCGTGGGGCGAGGAAGACATATGTGCATTACTAAGCTGAAATTGTCCAAGTGTTGGTCAAATCATGTTGGTTGGATAAGGCGAGGGCTCAGTCGATGAGGACCATCGCGGGTTGTGCATGGCCTTGCGATTACATTGAATTCGGACGAGGGTGTTGGCTAAACAATCGAAACATGGTCAGACTTAGGCGTGTTCGGGCACGAGAGTGCTTCGGAGCAATGCAGCTCGATGGGCGCGTGTGAGGGTGGCGCCGCGTCTAAGCCGTTGGCGGGAACAATTGGATTTTGAAAGGGCAGTTGGGTTGCACGTGAGCTAGTCGGTTACTATGTTCCATGTTGCCTAAGCGGATCATTCCTTCGAGTTGCATGGCCGAGTGGGGACAAAGGAAATCAGGGCACGTGGCTGGGCAGTTACCAGGGACACGTGGTCGAGACAGTTTTCTAACCTGCGAGAGAGTTGGGCAAGGATAAAGCACGACGGTTGGCGCCCGTTGTTGCATGAAGCTGGGTTGGCATCGAGTGGATGCGTGCACGTGTCAAGGAGCAGTTGCGAATAACTGCCGAATGGTTACCAAGCGGTTGGGACTACAGGGTCTGAGGTCTATAAATAGGCAGAGGCAAGCATACGCGCGAAAGTGGGGGAGCTAAAACACGAGGGTGCAAGGCAAACAAACGAGTGAACTAGTGTGTGAGAGAGTCTGTGTACTGTATACATGTAGATGCTTGGGTTGGCATACGCTAAGTGTAATAGCAAGCTTGTGTACGGCCAATTTCTATAAGGCTGGTACTTGTATTCATGTATGTTTGTGCCTGCGTGCACAATAGTGTGGGTCTGAACCGTGTATGCAAGCTGTAGACCATTCTATTGTACTTTGTGATATAATAGTACTTGGTTGGGCGTGAGCCCATAATATCGCGTGTCACCTATTTACTTGATAGTATTCCGCGTGCGTCTTAAAGTGACGGGTTTGCATAACCTCGATTTATACTTGTATGGGCGAGCGAAGGATCTAGGGACGGTGATAGGCTGACTGGTGTGGGATAATCAGGCCGCATAGGGTGCTAAAGGGCGAAAAATTTTAGCCTCTTTTTAGACCCTATGACAAGTGGTATCAGAGCCCATTTTTGGGTTCTGATTGCTGAGCGTGTTGGGAACAATGGGCGATTCTAATCGTCCAGAGTAACTTTTGATGACATTTGCGGCACGGATACAAAGGCTGGAGGACGTGATGTGGCAACCGCCTCAAACACCTATATATGCAGCGGTCTTTGAGCGCCTACAATCAACTGATGATGCGCTCGCTGACTTAAGCAAAAAGGTGGATGCTATGCGAACCTCGGTGGAGTCGTTGCCTGAACTTGTTGAAGGACAAATGGATTCCACACTAGATGAGTTCATGCTGATGTCGGAAGCGGTTGAGTCCAAGATCACGAAGATCCAAGATGATGTAGCCCTACTGAAACGGGTTGGCGCGAGTGTGCTCGCGGAGGAGCGCCAAGCCCCATCTAAAGTCTGAATTCCATATCATAAGACGTTTGATGGTACCCGAGATGCCAAGGAAGTCGAAAATTTCCTTTGGGACATGGAGGCATATTTCCATGCAACCAGAGTCCAGGACGACGAGAAAGTCTCAATTGCGAGTATGTTCTTGTCGGGGAACGCAAAGCTCTGGTGGCGTGCGCGAGCGTCCGATGACGTGAGTGCAAATAGAGAAGGTATCAAGATGTAAGATTCAATGAAGAGGGAGTTTAGGGATCAATTCCTACCTTGCAACACATATTGGGTTGCAAGGGAAGCTCTAAGAAACCTGAAGCAAGATGGTGCAGTTCGTGAATATGTCAAGGATTTCAGTTCCTTCATGATTGACATTAGTGAGATGTCGGAGCAGGACAAGTTGTTCAATTTTATGGCAGGATTACAAGGATGGGACCAAGCCGAGTTGCAGCGGCAAAGGGTTAGTGATCTACCAACGACGATGGCAGCCGCTGAGCGCCTTGTGGATTTCAAGGTGATTGGTGCCTCTGACTCGAGTGAACATGTGAAAGACTAGATGAAGAAGGATGAGAAGTCAAAGAAGTTCAAAGGTGGAAAGCACGGAGAGAAGTCCGACGAGGGTAGTAGCAGTACGCCCCGTGAGAAGTCCAAACAACCAACAATGGTGGACCGAAGTCGTGGCTGCTTCTTGTGTGATGGCGACCACTTAATGAAGGATTGTCCAGG